ATTTCAAGTGGCATTAAAAAGTCTTAAAAAGTCTTGAATTTAACTTGCCTTATGCTGTAGGAACCCTGAGAATAATAATCCTAAAAGGCGTTCTAACCATTCCCAGACTGCAGCAGTCGTCCTGCCCTGGCGTTTTTTTGACACACACCTGAGCAGCTGCTGATGCTCTGCTGAATGAAGCTGATCCTGTTTAAATTCCTGTGGTTTTTACTGATCGATTGAAAGCTTGTCGCCTCGGTAAAAACATTGTGCAGACGCCGATTTGATAAATCTGTCACTTCGCTTGTGTTTGTGTCTAGAAGTTAATTTCCATTCCCTGTTAATGGAGTTAGCGTTTCGCTGCGCTCCATTTCTCACAGCCTTGTACCTCCTCGCCTCAAAATGTCACACTTCAATCTATCCATTCCTCCGGCCCAGAAAGAGAGGAAATTAGATTCCTCCATGCTTGTTTAGCTTCTGCTCCGACATATTTCACCTGCTTTTCTTCACGTCTGTATGAATCTCGCCACCTTTGACCCGCAGCTGTTTTCCTGACAGCAGCGCTTCGTCTCTCGGTGTGAAATTAATCTCCAAGGTGTAAATTTAAAGCTAATTATCACAGACCTGTTAGCTGCCTCCTGGTTCTCGTCTTCATCCATCTCACAGCACATCCTGACTCTCCTGTTGTTTCTCCACCATGAATATTTGATGACCTTCTTCTCAAGGCCAGGGGATGAGGGAATGTTATCCTACCTGTCAGGGCGAAGGACTCGCAGTTAAATGTGTGTTGGTTAACGGCCGAAAGACTCGTCCTGATACAGACGCTGAGGCCGCGTTCGAATTTATGGGCTGCGTCTTCCAAGGACGCGGTTTACCTGGACTGGATCCTTCGAAGGAGACAGGGAGAGTTTGAATTCAAACAGGACTAGCCTTCAGCGGCTTTTACCGCCATATGCTCTGTCGCTTAGCAACCGTGACAGTTGACACACAAAGCAAGAAAAAAACGAATATCAAACTTTTCAAAAATGTTTCTTTTCTATTTTTTTTCTTCTTAATTGTGAAGTGAACAGTGGCGGTTCTAGATCAAATGTGCCAGGGGGCCAGGAGGGGGCCACCCTGTTTTCATGGGGGCCCAGAAAAGCATGAAATAAAAAAAATATATATATATGAAGAGAGCTGCATGAAGTGAAATTTCTATTCAAATGGGTTTAATTAAGGTCCTATTCCTTATTAGGTCAATATACATTCATAATTTAGTAGTTTTACATATTTTTGACTTAATGTAAGTCAAAATTACCATTTTTTAAAAATAAATGTCTCTTTTACCTCCTCAATTCAAGAACAAATGCAGTTATTTTAAGAAAAAAATGACTTATCTAGATTTAGATTTTTTGCAGTATTGGACTGCTGGTTGCCCATCATGGCGCCTCGCTGTGTCCTCAGCTCTGTGATTGGTGGGAGGAGCTGCTTTCATCCACTCTCTGGTGGTCCAGAGCGTTCCTCCTTGTCGGGTCTTATCCGTCTCACCTTCAGGCTCGGTTTGAAATGTAACTTTCTGTCCTTCCTGCAGGAAGAAAAGGAGCAGCTGATCGAGTACCGCAGTACGGTGGCGAGCCTGGTGGGACGGGCCAAGACGGTGGTCCAGCTCCGGCCCCGCACCGCAGCGAGCCCGCTGGATGGGGCCACGCCCATTAGAGCCATCTGTGACTACAAACAGATCGAGGTAAGGGAGCTGAACCTGAACTGTTTCTGATGCCAGCTCACCTCTGACCCTCACCAACACCCGCCTCCTCCTGGAAACTCCTCCATAAACACCGAGACATTCCTCTGAGGTTCAGGGACGGTTGGTCTGCTTGAAGGAGCTGGAAAAGTTCTCCCTCCGTTCCACATAAATACGGCCTGATAAACATTTAGGGGAACAGAGAGAGGATCATTTAACTTTCTGAAACAGGTGGAAACACATGGATAAAAAGCTCAGATGGCCTTTATTATGTTGAGACAATGGAGATCATTTTTTCTAATATTCAGCTGAATCAGATTTATTTTAAAATATCTTAAATTAAGTAAACATCTTATATTCAGGAGCATAAGAACCACAATCCAATAAATAAACACGGCTTTTAATAAATATCTTAATATAAATAAATACAAATTCCATTTGAATTGATGGAATTGTTTAATTCAATCCAGAATGATTGTAATATTTAAATCATTAATAGATATTTACTTTGGAAATAATTATTAATGGAAGAATAATCCTTTAAATCAACTTTTTTAAACGAATGGTTTTGAGGTAATGTCTTCCTTCCACTTAACTTTCTGTAGATATGTTTGGTCACTGTCCAGTTCAATCCATTAAAACTTGCTGAGTCATAGTGACAGTTTGGTTAGTGATGGACTGTAGATCAGGAATATCAAATAATTAAAGAGATACAGAAATTATTTAAACATTTTTACTTAATGAAGTCGGATTCAAATGAATGATTCTGTTTCAACCTATTTTAGAGCATGTTCTGAATTAATATTAATTTGATTTAAATAAATTTGATATTAAATATCAAGTGGAAATGTTCCATTTAATAAATAATGTGTTGGCTCTTTTAGTCTTTGGCTGTGAATTGAAGTTCTCACAGTTTTTCTAATTTTTCTCAGAAAAAAGGCCAAAGTTAGAGATGGTTCCTTCCAATAACCTCGATGCGTCGGTGCACAAGTCGTTTCAAGTCATGTGACCGATACAGGAGTTTTCTAACTAACAGACTCAATAAACCGTGTTTAAAAACGTATCTGTCAACATGATGCATCTGCAAAAAAAAAAAAAAGTCACATCTTTTTACGATTTATCATTAAAATAATCCAGAATTTTTGAGCCTAAAAGGAATAGGAACGTTTTAGCCGTTACATTTTAATTTTAATTTTCTCGTCGTGTCGTCCTTTTTCCTCTCAGTCATCACTCAGCTTATCTGAATTAAAGTTAATTTCAATAAACTCTTAGTTTCTTTACTGTTTGTACTGTATTTATTGTTTTAAAAATATGATTTAAAATCCTAGTCCACAAGTATCCTCATTCACATTTTCCCCTAAATTTTTAAAGTTATGATAGATGTTTACATTATTTATTGGCTGCATCTTAAAATGACAAAGATATTTTCAATTTAAACATAAAAATAATACAATATAACCTACAATAGCTTAAATGATCGATTCAGTTTAGTCTTTCAAAGAAGCTGCCTGTAGTGTTTTTAAATGTCCAGCAGGTGTCAGTATTCTGTGAGATTATCAATACAGTTTGGCAATTGCTTCAAGATGCCTCATTAACTCCTCACTACCCAAAGGAAATGGAGGTTTAAGCAGAGAGGGTCCCTAACGCGTCCCGGTTCCTCTGGGTGCTTCTGAGCGACTCCTGGTCTGGATGTCTTCAGTCTAAACGCTTTTCAATTATTAATTTGTCCCAAGCAGCACTTTGCACCCCCGCGCTCTGCTGGACACGCATCTGCTGATGCCGCTGCTATATTTAGAGCTCGGTTCTGGAGGGTTTTAGACGTGTCCAGCTGAAGCAGGGAGGGGGTTTGGTTTTGCTGCAGAGCTCAGAGGATCTCCAGAAAGCGGTTCACCACAGTAATCTATCTTCTTCACTTTCTTTTTTTTCTCCACACCCCTCCTCCTCCTCCTCCTCCTCTTCCTCATTCTCTTCCCTCCTTCCTCTGGTCTGTCGGTCCGGCTGACAAGACAAACGTCCAGGTAGAGCTGCCTCTCTTCTCCTTCTCTAACCTCAGATTCTCACTCTGCAGCATCCTGGCTGCCTGCTGCTCCCTTATCAGCTCATTTAAGACGCCCATAAAATTCAGCAACTTTTCTTCAAATTTAATGATGCAGATGATCCATTGGATCCACTTTATCCACACTGCAAAAAAATTGAATCTTAACAAGTAATTTTTTTTCTTAAAATAAATTCATTTTTTCTTGGATTGAGGAGGTAAGTTAGACACTTTGCCAATGGAACAAGACAATTTACATTTAAAATAAGAACAAAATAATTGCATTGTCTTATTTTAGGTGCATTTTATCTATTTTATTTTAAGAGTAAAAATACTAATTACATTGGCAAATCCTCTTATTTACCTACTGAAATTAAGGGTAAATACACTTAATTAAAGAAATCTTTTTCTAGATTGTTTTTGCAGTGCACCAAATAAAAGAGGGATAAACAGAGCATGTATTATATTAACATGATTTTATTTAAGAAGAAAATGTCTCTAAATATGTTGTATTTACAGACAAGTGGAAAATTTATTTCATTGTTGCACCAATAAATCTGAGGGTGAGACGTTTTAATCCATCCGTCTCAAAACATTATAGATCAATTTTTTTGTATTTCTGATCTTCATGCTAATTTTTTTTGTAGTAAATAAATCTTAATTTCTATGGAGAACAGGATGTTTGATGTTTTTATGATAATAGGGATTCAAATACAAACCAAATTTCTCAAGAATAAGTAGGATAGATGCTTAATCTAAAAACACAACTTTAAAGGTTTAGCGATCACACAGAAAAGAAAGCAGAAACAAAATATAGAAACTTTATTTAAATTTTGTTATTATACAGCCTATTACGGAAGAGGATTAGGGCCAAAAAAAAAATATTGAACTGATTTTTTAATTTTTTTTCAGTTTAGTATGGGAAAAAGTCAGAATTCTGAGATTAAAGTCAGAATTCTGAGAAAGAAAGTCAGAATTCTAAAAAAAAAAGTCAGAATCCTGAGAAAGAAAGTCAAAATTCTGAGGAAAAAGTCAGAATTCTGAGGAAAAAAGTCAGAATTCTGACTTTTTTTTTTAGAATTCTGACTTTTTTCCCATACTAAACTGAAGTAAAATTTAAAAATCAGTTAACTTTTTTTTTCAGTCCTCCTAATCCTCTTCCGTAGCCCATACAATTTTATCCATGAAAAAATAAATTTTTATTTCTTACTCTCACATTTACAGATTTAGCCA